CCAGCAGGTCCCTGGTGCAACCCCAGGGGTTCCCAGTCCCCCCAAAATCACATCAAACAGCACCAACTGTGCCCAGATCTCCTTCCCCAGGAACCAGCTTGTGGGAGCTGATTGCAAAGTTACCCCTTGGGGCTGGCGCTGCTGAGGGGTGAGAGGAGCAGGAGCCTGCCCATGCCCAGGGCCTGGCACCACCCAGCCTGGCTCTCAGCAGGGGCACCATGGCACGGCCAGGGACACTGCAGATGGAGGGAGGGAGGGGGGGATGGATGGATGGATGGATGGATGGATGGATGGATGGGTGGATGGATGGATGGATGGATGGCGAGGGAAGGAGCCCAGCTTTGTTTGCTTTTGTCCTTAAATTAAAAAGAAACAGGGACGATGGTGCAATTTGAGTTTCTGGGAACTCTTCACACTTTCCAGCGCGGGGGGGATCAGTCCTTGTGTCTCCTTTTGCCTTGTTGTGTTGGCCAGCTCCTTTGTTTATACAGCCCCCGTTCGACCTTTTAAATTGCTGTTAATGTTTTAGCGTAACGAATTAGTCTCTCATCACGAATCAGGACTCGAAATAAAAAAAAAATATATATAAAAAAAAAACCCTCCGAGGCCAACTTCCTGAAATTGGGGTCATTCTCATTTGCAAGGCAGAGAATCTGAGAACCTTAATGCAAGGAAATTTATTCAAAGGCAGAGCCCCGGCGTGATTAGGCCCTTTGTAATTATAGCTCGGAGAGATTCCACTCCAGCCTCCTGCCTCCCTCATGGATTAGCAAGTGAGTCGGAAAAATACACAGGATTTAATTAGAGGCAAATTAAAATTGGTAATGAAATAGGGGCAGTAGCAAATGGCAGGGAGTTGGAAGGGGAAAAGGGAGCTGGTATCTCTCGGGGCTGCGCTGTCTGCCTACGTGTGTGTCTCTTTATTTTACATTTAGAAATGTAAAGATGGTCGATGTAAAGAAGAAAAGGAGGGAAAGGCCCAAAAAAGGGAGGGTGGGGAGAAAGAAAAAGAAAGGAAAAGATCAGTTGGCTTTGCCGAGCATCGCCGAGTGAGCTGCCACAGAGAGGGTGGCTCTGCTCCCAGGTCCTTGCTGGTGTGACTTGTCCCTCGTCCCACGCTGCCCTCATCTTCCTCAGCATCTGGCCCACAAAACGGGGTCGTGAGCCACGGGTGGTCCCTCAGCCCTCTTGGTGCTGACAGGGTGAGCTCACAGCGTCCCGGCTGCCTTGGCACAGCCCGAGCGTGGCCGGGACAGCCCGGAGCCGTGGGGGACGTGCAGAGGTCGGGCGAGGAGGAGGATGGGGAGGAAGAGGAGGGGTCTGGGCGGCTGGGCGAGGACCGTGGAGCTGAGCTCTCCTGCCTGCTCTGCCTGCAGAACGCCGTCCGCCACAACCTGAGCCTGCACAAGTGCTTCGTGCGCGTGGAGAACGTCAAGGGAGCCGTCTGGACCGTCGACGAGCACGAGTACCAAAAGCGAAGGCCACCAAAGATGACAGGGTGAGTCCTCCTTTCCCACAGGACACAGCCCGGGGGCTGTGCTGGCACCCCCTCCGTGCCAAACCCCCCGTGCCCAGGCTGGGAGCGCTCAGCTTCATCGTTCTGCTTCCTCTCTTCCTACAGGAGTCCGACTTTAGTCAAAAACATGATTTCAGGACTCGGTTACGGAGCACTTAATGCAAGTTACCAGGTAAGGACCCAGTCCCGGCCCTGGCAGGGCTGCGGGGGCACTACACCCTCTAAGGACAGACTAAACCTGCCACCGTGGTCGTGTCGCCCTGCTCGAGTGGCTCCTGGTCTGGCATCCTCTGAGCCTCAAGCTGGTGCCACTCTCTGTCTCAGGCTGCGCTGGCGGAGAGCAGCTTCCCCCTGCTGAACCAACCAGGATCACCCCCGGCTCTGCCAGCGGCATGCTGCACGTGGGCCACGACGACGTCAGCAGCACCGTGGAGCAGGTCAACAGCAACGGCAGCAACAGCCCACGCCTGTCCCCACAGCAGTACAGGTCAGCCCAGCCAGGGGCGAGGGGATGGGGATGAGGATGGGGGGTGTTACTGGGCTGCTGGAGGGTTTGGAGATAAGGGGTGGTGGCACCGCGGGCACTGGGAGCTGCTTGCTCATCCCCTGTGTGAGGATGGGGCTGGACCAAGAGCTCAGGAAGGTTGTCTCTAGTGGGGCCAGCTCCCCGAGGCTGAAGGTTTCCCTCCCTGCAGCCATCCAGTGCACGTGAAGGAGGAGCCAGCCGAGGCGGAGGACGACAGCAGAAAAAAACACCAACCAGAATGTGACAATTCCCGACGACAGGGACCTGGAGGAGGAGCTGCCGGTGGAAGACTTGTCCTAAGGACCCCTTCCTCCTCCCCACCGAGGGGCAAAACCCTTCCCACCCTCCTCCCAGCCAAGCGACAGCTCCCACCTCCCCAAGGTGACCTTCGGCGTTCAGTTGGGTTTTTTTAAAGGCACTTCCACAAAGCAAAAGGGTTTCCTTGGTGCAAGAGCCCGTCGGAGAGGGCACGTCCCCCGCGCTGCCCACTGCCCCTGCCGAAGCCCCAGTGACTGACCGGACCCTGCCGGGGCCGGGGCCACCCTGCCCCACGAGAAGCAAAAAAACCCAAGAGCTGGACTTTTTCTTCCCTCCTCCCTTGGTTACTGACTGGTGAACGAGGATGGTAGGTTGTTTCTGTCCGAAA